GCGGAAGCGCGCTGGAGCTCCAATTTCTTGCATGTAGGCTACTAGAAGGCTCAAAAAGCACCCCTAGTAATTTGAAGGCGCTACGACAGCGGGAACTGGCCGAACCGTCATTGGGGTGTTTTTCGTAGTTTTTGGCTGGCGCGTGCTTAGGCTTAGCTTAGGCTTCGGCTGCTCAGGGATGCCAGTGCCACGTTTGATAGCTCATTTGAAAGCCCTTGACGAGCTGAATCTGCTGGTAGTACTTACAAAGCGAAATAATGCAAGCTAAGCCCGCTAAGCCGACTTATGTCTTTCCGCGCAGCCCAAAAACTGCAAAACGATGTAACTTTGCGCTGGAAACTCAAATCGTCGATCTGAAACCTGTTCTGACATGCTAAAGAGCTGCCTAATCTACCCTGAAAATTTGAAAACAGGAAACTTAATTCTAAGGGTATCGACTTTTCCCGGGTGGTCGAATCGGACCTCGGGCCTGGCCACGCGGAATTGCCAAAATCGCGCGGAAGCGCGCTGGAGCTCCAATTTCTTGCATGTAGGCTACTAGAAGGCTCAAAAAGCACCCCTAGTAATTTGAAGGCGCTACGACAGCGGGAACTGGCCGAACCGTCATTGGGGTGTTTTTCGTAGTTTTTAGCTGGCGCGCGCTTAGGCTTAGCTTAGGCTTCGGCTGCTCAGGGATGCCACTGCGACGTTTAATAGCTCATTTGAAAGCCCTTGACGAGCTGAATCTGCTGGTAGTACTTACAAAGCGAAATAATGCAAGCTAAGCCCGCTAAGCCGACTTATGTCTTTCCGCGCAGCCCAAAAACTGCAAAACGATGTAACTTTGCGCTGGAAACTCAAATCGTCGATCTGAAACCTGTTCTGACATGCTAAAGAGCTGCCTACTCTACCCTGAAAATTTGAAAACAGGAAACTTAATTCTAAGGGTATCGACTTTTCCCGGGGTGGGCGAATCGGACCTCGGGCCTGGCCACGCGGAATTGCCAAAATCGCGCGGAAGCGCGCTGGAGCTCCAATTTTTTGCATGTAGACTACTAGAAGGCTCAAAAAGCACCCCTAGTAATCTGAAGGCGCTACGACAGCGGGAACTGGCCGAACCGTCATTGGGGTGTTTTTCGTAGTTTTTGGCCGGCGCGTGCTTAGGCTTAGCTTAGGCTTCGGCTGCTCAGGGATGCCAGTGCCACGTTTGATAGCTCATTTGAAAGCCCTTGACAAGCTGAATCTGCTGGTAGTACTTACAAAGCGAAATAATGCAAGCTAAGCCCGCTAAGCCGACTTATGTCTTTCCGGGCAGCCCAAAAACTGCAAAACGATGTAACTTTGCGCTGGAAACTCAAATCGTCGATCTGAAACCTGTTCTGACATGCTAAAGAGCTGCCTAATCTACCCTGAAAATTTGAAAACAGGAAACGTAATTCTAAGGGTATCGACTTTTCCCGGGTGGTCGAATCGGACCTCGGGCCTGGCCACGCGGAATTGCCAAAATCGCGCGGAAGCGCGCTGGAGCTCCAATTTCTTGCATGTAGGCTACTAGAAGGCTCAAAAAAGCACCCCTAGTAATTTGAAGGCGCTACGACAGCGGGAACTGGCCGAACCGTCATTGGGGTGTTTTTCGTAGTTTTTAGCTGGCGCGCGCTTAGGCTTAGCTTAGGCTTCGGCTGCTCAGGGATGCCAGTGCGACGTTTAATAGCTCATTTGAAAGCCCTTGACGAGCTGAATCTATTGGTAGTACTTACAAAGCGAAATAATGCAAGCTAAGCCCGCTAAGCCGACTTATGTCTTTCCGGGCAGCCCAAAAACTGCAAAACGATGTAACTTTGCGCTGGAAACTCAAATCGTCGATCTGAAACCTGTTCTGACATGCTAAAGAGCTGCCTAATCTACCCTGAAAATTTGAAAACAGGAAACTTAATTCTAAGGGTATCGACTTTTCCCGGGTGGTCGAATCGGACCTCGGGCCTGGCCACGCGGAATTGCCAAAATCGCGCGGAAGCGCGCTGGAGCTCCAATTTCTTGCATGTAGGCTACTAGAAGGCTCAAAAAGCACCCCTAGTAATTTGAAGGCGCTACGACAGCGGGAACTGGCCGAACCGTCATTGGGGTGTTTTTCGTAGTTTTTGGCTGGCGCGTGCTTAGGCTTAGCTTAGGCTTCGGCTGCTCAGGGATGCCAGTGCCACGTTTGATAGCTCATTTGAAAGCCCTTGACGAGCTGAATCTGCTGGTAGTACTTACAAAGCGAAATAATGCAAGCTAAGCCCGCTAAGCCGACTTATGTCTTTCCGGGCAGCCCAAAAACTGCAAAACGATGTAACTTTGCGCTGGAAACTCAAATCGTCGATCTGAAACCTGTTCTGACATGCTAAAGAGCTGCCTAATCTACCCTGAAAATTTGAAAACAGGAAACTTAATTCTAAGGGTATCGACTTTTCCCGGGTGGTCGAATCGGACCTCGGGCCTGGCCACGCGGAATTGCCAAAATCGCGCGGAAGCGCGCTGGAGCTCCAATTTCTTGCATGTAGGCTACTAGAAGGCTCAAAAAAGCACCCCTAGTAATCTGAAGGCGCTACGACAGCGGGAACTGGCCGAACCGTCATTGGGGTGTTTTTCGTAGTTTTTAGCTGGCGCGCGCTTAGGCTTAGCTTAGGCTTCGGCTGCTCAGGGATGCCACTGCGACGTATGATAGCTCATTTGAAAGCCCTTGACGAGCTGAATCTATTGGTAGTACTTACAAAGCGAAATAATGCAAGCTAAGCCCGCTAAGCCGACTTATGTCTTTCCGGGCAGCCCAAAAACTGCAAAACGATGTAACTTTGCGCTGGAAACTCAAATCGTCGATCTGAAACCTGTTCTGACATGCTAAAGAGCTGCCTAATCTACCCTGAAAATTTGAAAACAGGAAACTTAATTCTAAGGGTATCGACTTTTCCCGGGGTGGGCGAATCGGACCTCGGGCCTGGCCACGCGGAATTGCCAAAATCGCGCGGAAGCGCGCTGGAGCTCCAATTTTTTGCATGTAGACTACTAGAAGGCTCAAAAAGCACCCCTAGTAATCTGAAGGCGCTACGACAGCGGGAACTGGCCGAACCGTCATTGGGGTGTTTTTCGTAGTTTTTAGCTGGCGCGCGCTTAGGCTTAGCTTAGGCTTCGGCTGCTCAGGGATGCCAGTGCCACGTTTGATAGCTCGTTTGAAAGCCCTTGACGAGCTGAATCTGCTGGTAGCACTTACAAAGCTAAATAATGCAAGCTAAGCCCGCTAAGCCGACTTATGTCTTTCCGGGCAACCCAAAAACTGCAAAACTATGTAACTTTGCGCTGGAAACTCAAATCGTCGATCTGAAACCTGTTCTGACATGCTAAAGAGCTGCCTAATCTACCCTGAAAATTTGAAAACAGGAAACTTAATTCTAAGGGTATCGACTTTTCCCGGGTGGTCGAATCGGACCTCGGGCCTGGCCACGCGGAATTGCCAAAATCGCGCGGAAGCGCGCTGGAGCTCCAATTTCTTGCATGTAAGCTACTAAAAGGCTCAAAAAGCACCCCTAGTAATTTGAAGGCGCTACGACAGCGGGAACTGGCCGAACCGTCATTGGGGTGTTTTTCGTAGTTTTTAGCTGGCGCGCGCTTAGGCTTAGCTTAGGCTTCGGCTGCTCAGGGAAGCCAGTGCGACGTTTGGTAGCTCATTTGAAAGCCCTTGACGAGCTAAATCGAATGGTACCAATTAGAAGTCGATTGAATAAAACCGAAGCCCGCTAAGCCGACTTATGTCTTTCCGGGCAGCCCAAAAATTGTAAAACGCTGTAACTTTGCGCTCAAATCGTCGATCTGAAACCTGTTCTGGCATGCTAAAGAGCTGCCCAATCTACCCTGAAGATTTCAAAACCGGCAACTTGATTCTACGGTGATCGACTTTTCCAGCTGGCCTGTGCTAAGCCTCAGCAAAATTGGAGTCGACTCATCTTTTCTTAGACATGTGCTACAGTATTGAGAGTTTACGCGTGCTTGCGTTTACGCAAAAAATTGGCTACAAAGTGCCAATAAAAACGAAGGAAGCCTAAAATAAGCTTCCGAAGCCTGAGCGAATTGTGCACTAAATTTGAAGTTGACTTTTCTCGTCAGACATGTCCATGTTTCCTTTTTTTCCTTTAAATATATTGTCGGCAATCTGCTGGGAAGGCGCCAGGGGGCCCAGCAATGTTGAGGCGCGGGTCTGAGAGACGAGAGGTTGTGGCTAGGATGGAGAGGGAAAAGCCATGTGGGTCTCTGGGCCCTCGGGCCCTTACAGCCACCCGCGAGATAAGCCTCTAGGCTGGGAGGGCCCAGAGAGATTGGGCAAAGATGCCATCGGCTGCAGCTGGGCCCCCGGCAAACCGCCCTTGGGGCCCTAGTAATCGGTTGCGCCCTTGCCATTGTGGCCCCGGGGGTTATATACATTGAGGCATTCGTTGTTTTATGTATTTCAAGGATTTTCAATTGTTCATTTAAGGATTGAGGCAGGTTCTCATAAATACGATTAATGAACGGTTAAAATTCGTAAAGACGACTTTCGCCGTCAGTTTTTGATATTTACATTACGATGTATATTCCGGGCAGTTTTATAGGAAATGAATCAATTTCGACGAAAAACGACTTACAAAATGAGTGTAAAAACGGCCTGATTGTCTTGTAATGATAAATTCTTTTCCACAACTTTTTATTTTTTCTCTCATTCTCTCGTTGCTCTCTCTCTCTCTCTCCCTCTCTTTTTCTCATTACCTTACACTCGCTTACTCTCCCTCCCTCGTCCTCTGTTTCTCTCTCGCTCTCGCTCCCTCTCTCTCGTGCACTCGTGTTCTCTCTCTTTCTTTCTCTCTCTCTCTCTCTCTCTCTCTCTCTCTCTCTCTCTCTCTCGCTTTCTCTCTATCCTTGTATCTGACTCCTTAAGACGTACCCTTCTTTGCAAATTTGATACATTTCAGTGAGTCATGAATCCAGAACTCCCACGAAGGTAGCCACATTTCTCGATGAGGATGGCGGCGCTCCGCAGCGGGCTTCTAGACGTGTTAGTACACGGGGAATGGCATCGATTGCTGGCCACGTTGGACCCGACGGCAATCACACTACAGGTTGGGTTTGGTGACAGCGTAGTGAGCGTTTTACCCGAGACGTTTTCACCTAGCAGACGTTTTTTAGGAACCGAAAAAGGTCACAAAGCTTTTTTTGGAACTGGTTTCTTTGACTAGTAGAAATCATCTAGAAATCTAAGGATCAGCGACGATCAGTAACCATTAATTCAGGCAATCGAGGCCGAACAAGCCGGTGGTGACTTCGAGTCGGAGAAGCGGACGGTAAGAGTCGTCAAATATGACGGCAATGGCCTTGGGGTCAGCATCAAGGGCGGACGGGACAATCACATGCCGATCATTATCAGGTAAGGCACTCTATTGTAGCGCCTTTTTACCTTTTCACACCTCCTTTCCACGCCATTTCAGTAAAATCTTCAAAGGGATGGCCGCCGACCAGACTGGGGAGCTTTTTGTTGGTGATGCGATATTGGCGGTGAATGGGGAGACGCTACAGTAAGCGTAAAGAATACGGTAGAAAAACAAGCAAATAGGGACGCCAGCCACGATGAAGCGGTCCGAGCCCTGAAGCGAGCCGGAAGGGTGGTGGATTTGCATGGTGAGTGTTTAGATAGGAATTTTCTAAGAAGAGGGCATGCTAGCAGAGATTCTTTAGGAAAGGGCAGGCTAGCAGAGATTCTTTAGGAAAGGGCAGGCTAGCAGAGATTCTTTAGGAAAGGGCAGGCTAGCAGAGATTCTTTAGGAAAGGGCAGGCTAGCAGAGATTCTTTAGGAAAGGGCAGGCTAGCAGAGATTCTTTAGGAAAGGGCAGGCTAGCAGAGATTCTTTAGGAAAGGGCAGGCTAGCAGAGATTCTTTAGGAAAGGGCAGGCTAGCAGAGATTCTTTGGGAAAGGACAGGCCAGCAGAGATTCTTTAGGAAAGGGCAGACTAGCAGAGATTCTTTAGGAAAGAGCAGGCTAGCAGAGATTCTTTAGGAAAGGGCAGACTAGCAGAGATTCTTTCGGAAGGGGCAGCCTATCAGGGATTCTTTAGGACGAGCAGCCTCACGTGATCCCTTTTTCAGTCCAATACCGCAGAGATGAGCTATCGAGGCGCGAAAACGTCGTCGAACGCATCGAATGGGATGACGATCAAAGGGACCGGATACGGTAGCTTCGCCAGACTTTAGCTTACCCAAAACCTGCTCTTCAGCGCCATCGGCTTGAAATTGGCGTACGTCTCCCGGGCTGGTTTTGACGCCGATGCCGAGGGGCGGATTTTCGAGGTAGTATTCCCAGGGTTGATTTAAACTCCTTGCAGATGCGCAGCCCGTCCGGGCGGTACAGCTTGGCTTTTCGGTGTTCATCTTCGGTGGAAGCTGACGCGTGGTTCGAGTCTATTCATAGCTGTACGCAGGCGCTGCTTACACAGGCTTTGGCTCAGGTATGTGGTCGTTCACACACACTCTCTCTCCCTCTCCCCCTCTCTGTCTCTCTCTCTGTCTCTCTTTCTCTCTCTCTCTCTCGCTCTCTCCTCATCTAAATTTCTTCAGGTAAATCTCATGTTGGGCGGGAACCCCCAGGTGAAAATGATGGGCTGGGCGTCGGAGCAGGTCAGAGAAATCCAGTAGTCTGTCAAGAGTCGTGCTAGGTAGTGGAAGAGGGTATGTCCGGGTGGCGGCCCGTCTTCATCACGCTCACCCAATCGGAGCTGCTCTTCTACGACGCCGTTCCGCAAATGAAGGTCAGTCAGCAGAGATTATTTGGGAAAAACCCGAAAACGCATTTTTGGGGCGAACTAGCAAAGACCCTTTGATTCTAGGGCGAATGGGCCGAACCTCGGATAGCACATCCGCTAGTGGCCACCAGGGTCGTTCAGACGACGTCCCGAACGGCCCCAGTTTTGAAAGGACTTTCGGACGTCATCTCGCTGAGGTTACGGACTGGTATGTCTTCCACAATCTTCCCATTAACCTGAATTTTTCAGGCACCCAAGAAGGCGTGCGCTCGCACATTTTCCGCGTCGAGACCCATGCGGAGTTGGCGCGGTGGGTGCGGTCGTTGGTGCTCGGGACGTATGAGGCTTGCTCGGAGACGCAGCAGGTGAGAGATTAGCTTCCCTCTCTATCTCTCTCTCTCGCTCTCTCTCTATCTTTCTCACTCTTTCTGACCGAGCTCTCGCTTTTTCCAGGTCTCCTGCCCCTGCCTTGTCCGAGGCGAGCCGGCCGAGCTCGTGCTCCACCTCGAGCAGGGCGTCTCCCTGCTCACCGAGGCCGGCGAGCTCCTCTGGGCGCATCCGTTTGAGGCCATACGGTAAGTAGATAACTTTTTAAAGTTCATGCTCAAATTTTCAGAGCTACTGGTGACGACGGGGGCCGCTTCTTGTGGATGGACTTCGGGATGCCCGAGGGCGAGCAGGTCAGCAAGAAGTTCCTAAAGAATCTCTGCTAGCCTGCCCTTTCCTAAAGAATCTCTGCTAGCCTGCTTGAAACCTAATTTCAGGAAATGGACCTGCTAACATCCGCCAAGCCGGTCGTCTTCATCCTCCATTCATTCCTCGCCACAAAAGTCTACCGTCTCGGCCTGTACGCCTAAAAGTTGCCCCCCGCTACCGTATCGTGCCTCAGAGATTTTATATGATACAGCATTATGGCTGAATATCCAATCAATTTGCTCGTGTTTTCCATTGCACGTTCCCTGCTCCTTCCCCTCGCCTACTGTCATTATTCGCTAATGCCTTGCCCACCCGATGCCGGATCAAATAAATATTGAAGCAAAGAGAGAAAGAGAGAGCGAGAGAGAGATAGAGCGAGAGACTTGGAAAACCTAGCTTTTTGAGTCGATTTATTCCAAGTCAAATGTACACACACACAGATCAAATCATGCAATACACGTCGACGAAAATAAATAAGGTAAATTCCGCGGGGCTGCGTTGTTTAAAGGTACGTCGAAGCGGGCCAGGGGCGGTAGCGCGTCCCGGGCTGAGGTGCGAGCCAGCCGGGTGGAGGGGGCGGACCGCTGGCTGCCTGGCTGGTTTGTAGCTGAATTTGAAAACATTCGCTGAACCGCTTTGACTTCAATAAAATAGTTTGGCTCGAAATCTTACCGTTGGCACTGGGAATGACGGGATGATGGCTGCTGGTCCTAGAAAACCGTTAAAAAATGGGATTGCTGAGGAATCTTTGCTAGCCAGCCCTTTCCTAAAGAAGCTTTGCTAGCCTGCCCTTTCCTAAAGAAGCTCTGCTAGCCAGCCCTTTCCTAAAGAATCTCTGCTAGCCAGCCCTTTCCTAAAGAATCTCTGCTAGCCAGCCCTTTCCTAAAGAAGCTCTGCTAGCCTGCCCTTTCCTAAAGGATCTCTGCTAGCCAGCCCTTTCCTAAAGAATCTCTGCTAGCCAGCCCTTTCCTAAAGAATCTCTGCTAGCCAGCCCTTTCCTAAAGAAGCTCTGCTAGCCTGCCCTTTCCTAAAGAATCTCTGCTAGCCAGCCCTTTCCTAAAGAATCTCTGCTAGCCAGCCCTTTCCTAAAGAAGCTCTGCTAGCCTGCCCTTTCCTAAAGGATCTCTGCTAGCCAGCCCTTTCCTAAACAATCTCTGCTAGCCAGCCCTTTCCTGAAGAATCTCTGCTAGCCTGCCCTTTCCTAAAGAATCACTGCTAGCCTGTCCCTTCCTAAAGAATCTCTGCTAGCCTGCCCTTTCCTAAAGAATCTCTGCTAGCCAGCCCTTTCCGAAAGAATCTCTGCTAGCCTGTCCCTTCCTAAAGAATCTCTGCTAGCCTGTCCCTTCCTAAAGAATCTCTGCTAGCCTGTCCCTTCCTAAAGAATCTCTGCTAGCCAGCCCTTTCCTAAAGAATCTCTGCTAGCCAGCCCTTTCCTAAACAATCTCTGCTAGCCTGCCCTTTCCTAAAGAATCTCTGCTAGCCTGTCCCTTCCTAAAGAATCTCTGCTAGCCTGTCCCTTCCTAAAGAATCTCTGCTAGCCTGTCCCTTCCTAAAGAATCTCTGCTAGCCAGCCCTTTCCTAAAGAATCTCTGCTAGCCAGCCCTTTCCGAAAGAATCTCTGCTAGCCTGCCCTTTCCTAAAGAATCTCTGCTAGCCTGTCCCTTCCTAAAGAATCTCTGCTAGCCTGCCCGGTTCTTTAGGATTTCCGGGGGGGGAACCAAATTTTTCCTGGTTTTCCCGGTTGACCTAGTAATCAAATATAAAGTGTTTTCACATTGTTTTTAGTAAATTATAACTATATTTAAAGTAGAAAAACCTTTCAAAAAAGTTAGAAAAATGTTTGAAAAAGTCGAAAATTTAGTCATTTTGGGTCTTCCCCCCCGCTAATCCTAAAGGTTCTATAGGATTTTTCGACCTAAAATTAAATTTTTTAATTAAAATGTGGGTAGTTTTTATGCTCAGGAATAGTTAAAAACCATTTAGAAACGCATGCGCTATTTAGAAAAAAATTTAGGCCTGGGCCGAGAAAATTTGGTTTCCCCCCGGAAATCCTAAAGAACCGCCTGCCCTTTCCTAAAGAATCATTGCTAGCCTGTCTTTTCCTGAAGAATCGTACCCTGCACACCACCCCTCGCCGGTGCCCGACGCTCATACGCCATGAACCTCATCTCGTTTGAGCGACGGTCTTGCAGGTGATTCTTGCCTGAAATTTCCGAATCGTACTGTGCTGGGCCTTTTGAGGGCCCTACTGTCTCCGACTCACCTACACAATAGCAGCCAACAAAGCAGCAGCACCAGGAAAGCAGGGACAAGAATTTGAAAAAGGTATAGTTGCCGCCTGAGTCGGATCCGCCGCCCCCGCCGCCGTAGCCGCCACCACCTCCGCCACCAGAAACTAAACTTTGTATTAAATGTAGGCTAGTGAACATTCTTTAGGAAAGGGCAGGCTAGCAGAGATTCTTTAGGAAAAGGGTAGGCTAGCAGAGCTTCTTTGGGAAGAAATTCTACGAAGCCCTACCCATGTAGGTGCGTGCACCATAACCACGTCTCTGCTTTTTTCTCTTTTTCTCTTTCTCTTCTCTTTTGATTCCTAAAGAATCTCTGCTAGTTACTACCCTAACTAGCCGAGTCGAAACGCTCACCCAAGCCCAATTCCTTCCGCAACTCATAGGGCCACGGCTCCGCGACGTCATCTGGAACCTTCCGGAATTTTAAGGGCCATTCCAGCCTGGTTGGAACTTCACGAGAATCCCCCTTGACTTGCTGTCCCACCGCCTTTAAAGGGGCGAATGCATAGTTCAACAAAAATGACCATTTGGTGCGTATTGTTGGGTAGCGGAGGCGAGAAAGCCGAGGATTACGGTAGCCCAGAGAAGAAAGCCGCATACCGTACTCATCGGTGGATGGGGAGGAAAATAGCAGAATGACGAAATGTCTCGATTCCGTTTGGCATGCAAATCATGTTTTTATTTTTTCGCCAGTAGGATTAAATGGTTGTTTTGGAGCCGAGATACCGGCCCTCAGCTCGTTATCTCGGCTCCTTCTTATCGTATCGGGTTGTAATGTATACCAAAATACTTGCAGGAGCTGGGCGAGGCAAGATACATCTCGAGTCTATTTATTCCAAGTTAAATGCACACAGACACATGCCAAATACAGCCAATTCAATACTACAGCCCGTCGGATGATCAGCGCTGGGATCGGTATCGATCGCTTTCGAAGCCTGAAAAGCACTCAGAAAATCAGATTCAAAAGAATTTCTGCTAGCCTGCCCTTTCCTAAAGAATCTCTGCTAGCCTGCCCTTTCCTAAACAATCTCTGCTAGCCTGCCCTTTCCTAAAGAATCTCTGCTAGCCTGCCCTTTCCTAAAGAATCTCTGCTAGCCTGCCCTTTCCTAAAGAATCTCTGCTAGCCTGCCCTTTCCTAAAGAATCTCTGCTAGCCTGCCCTTTCCTAAACAATCTCTGCTAGCCTGCCCTTTCCTAAAGAATCTCTGCTAGCCTGCCCTTTCCTAAAGAATCTCTGCTAGCCTGCCCTTTCCTAAAGAATCTCTGTTAGCCTGCCCTTTCCTAAAGAATCTCTGCTAGCCTGCCCCGTCCCAAAAGTACCTTGCCCACCACGCTCGCATCCTCCTCGTTCATGTGCTGCCGCTATGAGGAATGCCCTTCGCCTGTTTGCGACTAGATTGGAATCCGCAATGCTATTCTGGCCTGAAAAATCTCTAATCTTATCTTCAACCTGTTCCTTCAAGGTTGGGACCTTCTGAATTTGCTAACCCACACAGGCAATAACCGCCAACGCAGCAGCAGCAGCAAAAAACGATGATCATGGCTGAAAATCGGTTTTAATAGTCTGTTATAGAAAGCCATACCCCATTGTAATACGGCCGAGAGGACCATTGTGACGCCATCATCGCTTCCTCCGCCTCCACTGCCTCCACCGGCCTCTGTCGCGTCGGCGCTGAGCAACATTTCGCGCTTCTTTACTGCAAGAGCGCTCGTAGTTTCGTTTCCTCAAGAATCCCTGCTCGTTCGCTGTTTTCTACTGCATACCCAATCCCAATTCCTTCCGCAACTCGTACGGCCACGGCTCCGCGACGTCATCTGGAACAATTCGTATTTTTAAGGTCCATTGAAGCCTGGATTCAACCTCACGAGACTCGGCTGTTCCACCCCCTTTCAAGAGGCGAATGCATAGTTCAGCAAAAATTGACCATTTGGTGCGTATCGTTGCGTAGTCGAGGCAAGAAAGCCGAGGATTCCAGTAGCCCAGAGATGAAGGCCGCATACCGTACCCATCGGGGGATGGAGCATAAAATAGCAGAATTACGAGATTCCTCTATTCTACCACAGATGCAAATTTGTTTTAGAGGTCCACGTGAAGGTTCTGATTTTTTCGCTGGTACGATGCAATGGCTTCGGTTCAGTTTCTCGCACCGCAGATTCCATGCCCTATCTCGGCTCACTGTTTACCGATCGAGCGGTAAAGTATACCAAAATACTCGCATGAGCAAGGCGAACATTTTGGTATACTTTACATACCTGTAGACAAACAGCGTGCCGAGATACAAAAGTTTGGCGGGCTAGATGGGGGCCTCAGCCTTACCGATGAAATGATTGTAGTCTGTAAGGTATCGAAACTGTGTTACAGCGGCTGCCTTGCCTCTTGAATCGATTTATTCCACATTAAATGCACACAGACACAAGCGATATGCAGCCAGTTCAATACTACGGACCGTCGGATGATCAGCGCTGGTCTCGATATCGATCGCTTTCGAAACCTGAAAAGCACTGAGAAAATCAGATTCCAAAAGAATCTCTGTTAGCCTGCCCCTTTCCTAAAGAATCTCTGCTAGTCTCCCTGGTCTAAAGTACCTTGGCCACCACGCTCGCATCCTCCTCGTTCATGTGCTGCCGCTATGAGGTATGCCCTTCGCCTGTTTGCGACTGGCTTGGCATCCGCAATGCAATTCTTGCCTGAAAAATCTCCTAATTCATCTTCACCTTCTTCCTTCCAGACCGAGACATCCGGAATATGCTAACCCACCCACGTAATAGCAGCCAACGCAGCAGCAGCACCCATAAAGGATGACCGCGACTGAAAATCGGATAAGACTTCAGATACCCTCCCCCCAGCCCGTACCCCTCACCTACCGTATCTCGGCTCCCTGTTCATCTACCGGTGTGTAAAGTATACCAAAATGTTTGCCTTGCTCTGGCGAGTATCTTGGTATAGTTTACACACCTGTAGATGTACACGGAGCCGAGATACGGTAGGCGGGGGTCGGCTGGAGGGGGCTCATCTGGAGTTCAGCCGAAAATCGATTTAATAGTGTTGTATGAAAGGCCTGTAACGATAAATGAGCATAAAAGGAGGAGGATAACGTTTTTACCAAATGCGCATAGACCCCAGGCGACCATTGAGACGAATCCGCCGCTTTGTCCGCCTCCACTGCCTCCACCGTCCTCTGTCGAGTCGGCGCTCATCAACATGTCGCCTTTCTTTACTGAAAAAGCACTAGTGGTTTTGTTTCCTCAAGAATCCCTGCTCGTTCGCTGGTTTCTACTGCATATAACGCTCACCCAACCCCAATTCCGTCCGCAACTCATACGGCCACGGCTCCGCGACGTCATCTGGAACCTTCCGGAATATTAAGGGCCATTGAAGCCTGGATGCAACCTCACGAGAACCGTGAATCGGCTGTTCCACCCCCTTTAAAGAGAGGAATGCATAGTCCCGATCAAAAATGACCATTTTGTGCGTATTGTTGCGTAGTCGAGGCGAGAAAGCCGAGGACTACGGTGGCCCAGAGAAGAAGGCGGCATACCGTACCCATCGGGGGATGGGGCGGAAAATAGCAGAATGACGAGATTTCTCGATTCTGCTTGGCATGTAAATCAAAGTTTCTACCGGCTGTCCAAAGACTTGGCAGCATGGAGGCGAGCTAGCAGAGAGTCTTGCGGATGACAACAACTTCCAAGACTTCCGGTTTATTCTCGAGTAACACACGAATCGAGTCAATCACAAATCGATGAGTGCAAAAAATAGGGTTTAACGGCGTGGCTCGTTGTAGTCTGTAGTCTAATCCCTCCTTCGGGATCTCAGAATTTGGCAGGTCGCGGGACCCAGCCGGGTGGTGGTGGTGGGCCGCCGGGCTGTGGCTGAAATTGTAGTTTGTAGTTTGTAGTGTTGCCAAAACTTGCGCCCTCCCTCCAACGAGTCCCTAGCTACTGTATCTTGACTCCCCGTTGTGCTACGGAGTTGTGGCGTATATCAAAATGCTCGGCAGGATGAGGCGAACATTTCGGTATACTTTACACACCTGTAGATGAACAGGCGGCCGAGATACAAAAGTTGGGCGCCGGCTGGGGGGAGGGTTTTTTACAGTCCTACCGTAGTTTAAAGGACACTTGGAGGCAAGCGGATTACCTGTTGTGGCGAGTAGGCCGGGGGTGCGTAGGGTTGCTGCTTCGATCCTCGCTGCTGTGGCGGCTGCGCGTAGGCTTGCGGTGTCTGGCCCGGCATGCCAGGAGGGGGAGGAGGGCAGGGAGTCGCTTGGAATGTCGCCGAAGTACCTTAAAAATGATTTCTAAATGCTCGATGATAGCTTATCTTTCTTAAAGAATCTCTGCTAGCCTGCCCTTTCCTAAAGAATCTCTGCTAGCCTGCCCTTTCCTAAAGAATCTCTGCTAGCCTGCCCTTTCCTAAAGAATCTCTGCTAGCCTGCCCTTTCCTAAAGAATCTCTGCTAGCCGGCCCTTTCTTAAAGAATCTCTGCTAGCCTGCCCATTCCCAAAGAATCTCTGCTAGCCTGCCCATTCCCAAAGAATCTCTGCTAGCCTGCCCTTTCCGAAAGAATCTCTGCTAGCCTGCCCATTCCCAAAGAATCTCTGCTAGTTGAACCTTTTCTCTGAACTAAAACTTGTACTAAAACTTCTTGTACTAAAACCGACCTTTTCTCTGCTGAGGCGCCGCTTGCATCTGCATCCTCGCTTGGGCGGGTGGTGGTGGTTTCGGAGGGGGAGCCGGGTTAGACGGGGTCCTCAACCAATGCCAGAAGACAACGACTGAAACGCAAATTCTCTCTCTCTCTCTCTCTCTCTCTCTCTCTCTCTCTGCTCTCTGCTCTCTCTCTCTCTCTCTCTCTCTTACATGGCGCGGGTCCATGGTCACGGTCGCTCTCATCACAATAGTAGACGTTGCCGCATTCGTCGACGTATTCCTTCCTTTCACGGCATCCACCTAAAAATCGTTTCCTCAAGAGTCTCTGCTAGCCTGCCCTTTCCTAAAGAATCTCTGCTAGCCCCCACGAATCCCATTTCACCCACATCCCCATGAGCAAATCAAGCAGACGCACACGCCGCCGAGGAACACCGCTAAAGTTCTTGTTGGCCTTGAAAAACGACGAAAATTCCTTACCGAAGCCAACAGCGCACGGAGCGCCGCACGTATCATTTCCACCGCCACCTCCACCACTCCCGTGGTAGCTGTTACCACCGTATCCCCCGCCACCAACGTAGTGGTGCGTATGGTGGTGGACGTGACTGTGACCATGGCCTGAACGTCAGAAAATTGGCGCAGTGGAGGGCAACATACTATGGCATCTGCGACATCGTGCATGGAACTCGGCGCTGAGCATGTTTTGTTCGTTCACTGAAATAACAAGAATTTTTGGAAGAAGGCAGGCTAGCAGAGATTCTTTAGGAAAGGGCAAGCTAGCAGAGATTCTTTAGGAAAGGGCAGGCTAGCAGAGATTCTTTAGGAAAGGGCAGGCTAGCAGAGATTCTTTAGGAAAGGGCAGGCTAGCAGAGATTCTTTAGGAAAGGACAGGCTAGCAGAGAACGTTCAGGAACAGCTTACGCAATCCCAATTCCTTCCGCAACTCGTAGGGCCACGGCTCCGCGATGTCATCTGCAAAATTCAGAGTTCAAACAAAACCTTAAAGTAGCATTAAATCTACTGTCACCCCACCTTTAACGCCAAGCAAAAAAATACTACGGGTTAGAGTGCAGTTTACCCCCCCCAGCCCAGCTCCTCAGCCATACGTCCTATTAATGCGCCGAGTATCTCAAAATGTTCGCCGTGGTCGAAAACCCCTGGCAAAGTTGTTTACTTGCGCCCAAAATTGTTAAAAAATTTTTTATAAGAATTATAAGTCTGGGTTTTCTTTAGTTAATTTTTGCTGTTCCAAAGTGAGTTTTCATATCTCGGCTATCTTTAGTCGTACAGAGCTGTCAATGGTACCAAAATGTAGCTCTTGCTCTGTAGAATAAGCCTACAGTACGCTTGGGTCGAAAAAAATAGCGGAAAACAAAAATATTTGAGTTTTTGACTCCTGGTACATTGATGCATAGCGGCTTAATCTTTTCAACTTTCAAAATTTTGTAAAAAATTTTCTAACAATTTTTGGCGCAAGTAAACAACTTTTCCAGGGGTTTTCGACCACGGCGAACATTTTGAGATACTCGGCGCATTAATAGGACGTATGGCTGAGGAGCTGGGCTGGGGGGGTAAACTGCACTTAAGCCATACTACGCTAAAACTGACCATTTTCCGTGTAGGGTTCCGTGGTAGCAACGAGAAAGCCGAGGAATACGGTAGCCCAGAGGAGGCCGAATACCGCACCCATCGGGGGATGGATCGCTGGTAATGGCTCACCTTCCGCTTTTTCCGCGCTTTCAGGAGTCCCAGATGCAAATTTTGTTCTTGTAAATTTGGTAAATTGGATTCGCGCCTGGTAGGCTAGCAGTCTTTTGCGGGACTTTCGATTTATTCTCGAGTAACAATCACAAATCGATGAATGCATAAAATACTGTATAAAGATTGTAGTCTGTTGTAGTCTGTAGTCTGTAGTCTAATCCCTCCTCCGTCATCTCAGGATTTCGCGGGTCGCGGGGCCCGGCCGGGCGGTGGTGGTAGGCGGCCGGCTTGTGGCTGAAATTGTAGTTGGAAGTTTGTCGTTTGTTGTTTGTAGTTTTAAAGGAACGGTGAAGGCAAGCAGCCTACTCGTTGTGGCTGGCCGGGCGGGATGCCGGGAGAGGGAGGAGGGCAGGGAGTCGCTTTGAACGTCGTCGAAGTACCTTAACAAACGGATTTCAGAAATGATCGCGGCTAGCCTGCCCGTTCCTAAAGAATCTCTGCTAGCTGGCCCCAGCTCATCACAAAAACCAACCTTTTCCCTGCTGTGGCGGCGTTTGCGTCGGTATCGTCGCCTGGGTGGGTGGTGGTGTCGCCGGCGGGGGCTTAGGGTCAGACGGGGTCCTCAACCAATGCCAGAATTCAGCGACTGAAAAGGTCTCTCTCTTCTCTCTCTCTCTCTCTCTCTCTCTCTCCTCTCTCTCTCTCTTTCACGCCCTATATCTTTCTCTCGCGTACATGGCGGGGGTCCATCATGAGGGCTGCTCTCCTCGCAATAGTAGACGTTGCCGCATTCGTCAGTGTACCTGTTACACTTGCATCCACCTAAAATTGGTGTCCTCAAGGGCAGGGTTGTTCGCGGTCCCCAAGTAAAACAGCTATGTAAATTACAGAGGCCCGGACAGCCCGTGTCGGCGAGGCTTACGGGGAAGGCTCATCGACAGATTTCGTGTCGTAACCTTCCATTTTTGGTGCCACAGTGCATGATTAGTGCAGATACGGATTCATCTGGGCAACTTACGGACACGGACCCATGAAAATCGGGACGGGTCCGGGTCCGGGTCTGCCCGGGTCGGACCCAAATTATCACCCTATCTGCTAGCCTGCCCTTTCCTAAAGAATCTCTGCTAGCCTGCCCTTTCCTAAAGAATCTCTGCTAGCCTGTCCCTTCCTAAAGAATCTCTGCTAGCCTGCCCTTTCCTCAAAGAATCTCTGCTAGCCTGTCCCTTCCTAAAGAATCTCTGCTAGCCTGCCCTTTCCTCAAAGAATCTCTGCTAGCCTGTCCCTTCCTAAAGAATCTCTGCTAGCCTGCCCTTTCCTAAAGAATCTCTGCTAGCCTGTCCCTTCCTAAAGAATCTCTGCTAGCCTGCCCTTTCCTAAAGAATCTCTGCCAGCTCCCGTGAATGCAATTTCACCCACAGCCCCACATGCAACAGATGGTGACTCCCAAGCCGCCGAGTAACGCCCCTAAACCCTTTCTTGACCGCAAATATTCACCCCCCTACCAGACCACCCGAAGACCTCGGCGTTGGTGGCATTCTTGCCGTCACCTCCACTGCTGCTATGGTGGCTGCTGTATCTACCGTATCCACCACCACCAACGTAGTGATGCGTGTGGCGGTGAGTGTGAGTGTGACCATGACCTGAAAGTCAAAAAGCTGGCCGAATTGAAGGCAACAAACTATGGCATCTGCGACATCGCCCATGGAACTCGGCGCTGAGCATGTTTTGTTCGTTCACTGCAATAACAAGAATTTTTGGAATAAGGCAGGCTAGCAGAGATTCTTTAGGAAAGGGCAAGCTAGCAGAGATTCTTTAGGAAAGGGCAGGCTAGCAGAGATTCTTTAGGAAAGGACAGGCTAGCAGAGATTCTTTAGGAAAGGGCAGGCTAGCAGAGAACGTTTAGGAAAGGGCAGGCTAGCAGAGATTCTTTTGGAAACACTTACGCAATCCCAATTCCTTCCGCAACTCGTACGGCCACGGCTCCGCGATGTCATCTGCAAATTTCGGAGTTTAACGAGCCCAATCATACCTTAAAGTAGCATGAAATCTACTGTCACTCCACCTTGAACGTCAAACAGACATTACTACGCTAAAACTGACCATTTTCCGTGTAGGGTTCCGTGGTGGCAACGAGAAAGCCGAGGAATACGGTAGCCCAGAGGAGGCTGAATACCGTACCCATCGGGGGGGATGGATC